TGATTTGGCATCATCTAACAACAAAAAAAAAAAAGAAATAGTACATCAAACAAATTAACCAAAAACCCTAACTTTGAGTTTATTGTCATGAACAAGCGATGATTTATCTTTATTGTGGTGTGTACTCAAATTTGCAACCCAAATAACACAACATCATTTTATCACTCAACCCATGAATACGGAAATTTAAAGCAACAATAAGAAAAATTATTACTTGTAACTTCTAAGCATTGGCAACAAATTTCTCTTGATAAATCAAGAAAAAATATTTAAAATTCAACATTCTCAACAAGTACCGACAATTTCCAAGCAATCTCTGCCTACTGAAAATTAAAACCTATAACTTCTCAAAATAAGAAAATAGGCAGGAACAAGTCACATACATGTGTAAATCAAAAAATAAATAGAGAGATATTACCTCGACGTGTTTTTCAAGTTAAAGGCTTGTCATAAGCTATTAAGTTGCAATTCTTATTAGTAATTAATAGCAAAAGAAATAGTCAGGTAGAGAAAACACTAAGCAAATCTATTCTTCATAAGAAATTTATCAATTTTAATAGATTTGACAAATATCAAATAATAAAAGCTAATAATAATGAAATATTAATATGCAGTAACAATGTATTAAGCCCAAAACATCAACAAGGCTGCAACAAGCCTAATTTTATGGAGCAAAAACAATCAGTATGGTCACAATAAACGCAATTCTAAATCAAGACAAACAATTCATTAAGCTCGAATGGAAGAAATATTGAAACAAAGAGTAGTTTTATCTAATCTCTAATAAATAATGAACGAACATGGCATTGAAGAAAATGAAAAGTCAATGTTCGTCTTTTAAAAAAAATATTTTAAGAGAATTACTTTACAGGTCTACTTTCTTCTTAAAATTTTTAGTTTGGAGACGTGCTTTCATATTTTAAGCATAAGAGAATAATAATTTTTAATTGAATCGAGCCCACGTCCACTCCCAAGTGATTAATTGATCTTCTTCATCCATTACTTTCTCTCAAGAACTTTTGCTTTTTGATAGTTATTATTCTGAAGATTGGAGGGCTAATTGACATATGAAAATCAACTTAATCTAAACAAAATTATATTCAAAACACAAAAACTAATTAACTCACAAAAGCACATGAAAATAAATAAAAACTTGCAATCTTATTGTAAATAGAATTTGAAATGTGATGACAATGCTCTTCTCAAAAGAACAAACTTGAAGTTCAAGTAAGTTAGCTATAGTTCTTGTTTTTTGATGTCCAATTTCTCACATTCTTTATCATCAACATGAAAAGTTTGAAAAAAAAACTAAAGAAGAAAACCTATCGAACAGATAAGAACCGCACACCTCCTTTCATGTTGCTCCCTACAATCTTTAGTCTCTCCCCATAAAAATCAAAACTCATTTATTTTTCCTCAAATCCATATCAAATCCAAAACAATAAATGTCAGCAAAAGATAATTCCATATAGAGATAAATTATGCGTTGTTCTAATGTTAATATTGAAGTCTTCTAGAAAAAGCAAAATTTTTACTCAGATTCAAATTTAGGACTGAAAAGGATATGTTGGAGATGGACATTGACGTTTCATGCATGATAATGAATTGAAGTTTGGTACAACATAATTGCATAAATTTTTTGGGAAAAATAGAAACAACCGCTACCTTTCTAAGACAGAGGAGGAGACGGCGACAACAGCCGTGGATGTGTGAGGACGACGACCGATGAATCGCTGGAGGAGTAGGTGTCACCGTCAAAAACCCTATGCTTTCAAACTTAGGGTTAGGGGGGAATTAGGGTTAGGGTTTTGCGAGGGGAGGGGAGAGACCGCTGTAGGAGGAGGTAGCGGCCGAGCTTAGGCGGCAAGGTAGAGTTAATTGGAGGCAGTGGAGGTCTGATTAGGGTTGGAAGCAACAAGGGATTGACGTGAAGGTGGAGTTGAAAGTGGTGAGTCTTTGATAGCGGTGAAGGCTTAGGTGACAGTGAAGTATTTGACGACAAGGTGGAGTTAGGGGCGGCGGTGCTAGCAGGTAGGGGGTTTGGGGTTGGATTTTGAGAGAGGGAGGGAAGGAGGGAGGGAGGGGAGTTTCTAGGGCTGAAGGATCTGAAGTCAAGGCTATTTTTTATGTTGTGAATGGGTCCCATGTGATTTTGTTTTTGAAATTCAAAATTTGAAATTCGGGGGTGTGAAGAGATGGTATAAGGAGCTAGGATATTTTTGTCAGTCAAACACGTGTCCCAAAAGTTTACCGTAGCAAGTTTTGGTTTTACTATTGTATTTAAAGCAGTTGATTTTCTCAATTTTTCTCTGTGCTTCCTTTCTATTTATTTTTTATCGTTAGTAAAAATTTGTTTCCTACTATGCAACGGTGTGCCCCCAACTTTCTTTGAGTACAACTTATATATCTCAAAGTTCATGTGTTAGTATTCACTTTATTTCTTTCTTAAAGCAATGGAGCAACAGGCAATATGGAGATCAATAAATATCTATTGTTTCAGCCTTCACCTCTCTTGTTTCCTTAGCACTTCATCCGTTTTATATGTTGTATTCTTGCCTTTTCTTTAAAGGAGAAAAATATTTGATTAGTCATAAGTCTGTGAAAAAATTACACATGCAATGTCTATCGGTATATTATGAATATAACCAAGTTCATTTACATTTCCTTTTCCGATATAAGTTGCCATGTTATATGTTAATTTCTAATGCTTTTTTATAGTTTAGAAGAAAAATAATATGCTGATCGCATTAAGCAAATTAGGATATCCAAGGTGTAGTTATTATCTCAATTTCTATTTCAGATATCCAAGCAGTCACTATTACTCTTTTTTTATTTACTACTATTTTTTATTTTCGTCATGTTTAATAGGACCCCAGCTTGCATTTGAGTATGGACAAATTGAAATCAGTGAATTATGTTTTTCTAAGCAACATTTTTGAAAGTGCATGTTGTTATGACGCGTATTCATAAGCTGTAAACTGAAAATCGAATTATATCTGTAGACTTCAGAAGTGGCTGTCAATACAATATTTTTGGATTCAAGTACACAAATAAGAAGATAATAATGTCTGGTTGATTGGTATTTTTTTGCAAGTGTAAATTTAAAATCGTGTATAAGCTACAAATTGCATCTGTTAGGAGATGAACTATGTAGATAGGGACTGCAACTTGTTTAAAACATGACTTCGGCCTTTCTTCTAAAAGCCAATTTCCCATGCTTACGTTCCACAGTGGTTTTTGTAAACACTGCTGTAGGCTTTATGCCTTCGGAGAAATCACATTATCAAATCTTTGTTTCACCCTATTTTCCTCTGTAATAGAGGCATCACATTTGACATTTTGAGATTCATTTGGATGCTGCAATTCCTACTGTTTAAGATATGCTGATTTCTTGCTTTGCTGGCATCTAATTAATTGTACTTTTCACATGGCAGTTTAGTCCTATGGGACAATATTTTGCTACTGCTTCACATGATCGTACTGCTAGGCTGTGGTCAGTAGAAAGGATCCAACCACTGCGGATAATGGCTGGTCATCTATCTGATGTTGATGTAAGTTTGATCTCATTGTTCAAAATGGACAATCACTATTGAATACTTGTTTTCCAACTTTCGATAAAATACAATCTTAATTGCATATACCTAGTCCTTTTGATAGGTGAAGGGAGATTTTCCATAAAATACAGCCAGTAATGCCTTATTGTGAGATGCAATGAGAGCATGTTGAGAAAATAATTTGGTGGATAGGCATCACCAAGATAAAAGATGAGACTAGAAGTGCTTGAAATCAGCAATGGAAGCACGTTGAGGAAATAACTAGCTAAACAATAACTGTTCAAGTATGACACAAGATGCACTTGAATTGGGTAAAGTTAGTAACTATAGTTACTGATGATTTCCAATGTAAATGAGAATTTCATGGCTCTACTTAAGAAGGGATGTAAAGCCCATTGAACGGAATGATCCAGCAATGCTAATCGTTGTATTCTTGGTTTGTGGTACACATGAGTACACAATACACTATTGACAAGTATGATATACTCTACTGCCCTGTAAGCAATAAGAATAAGCAGGCCTAGTTGAAACAATCAATACAGTTTTGAGATTTCTCAGGGGCATTTCAATAGTTACGCGTGTAACATTTGTACGCACATGGACATAGAAGACATGGTCATGTACTTTAGAAAGCAAAAGTTCAAGCTCCAAAAATAGCTATGTAAGTCTGAAAAACTGCAACTAAGTCCATTAAGAAAAGATAATTAGTGCTAAGACAACAGAAGATCTCGTTGAATCAACCAGTCATTTGTTTCTTCTTTTATTTCAAGAATATACCACAAGTCTATGTGAACTAGCTGAATTTCAGTTGAGAGATGGAGTGGATTAGGTAACAGTAGAATGGGCCCTTAAATCCAGCAAACCCGCTTTAGAAGTATTGGAAGCTTTAAGTAACAATACATTAGATGTCTTTAGCTTCTCATAGTGTATCCTATTTGATTATGATTACGATATTGTTGTTTGGAGTTATCCTTAGATTAGGATGATTAGCAGAAAAATTCTTTATATTAGGATATATGAGGTATCTCTTGTTTCAAATTTTGGGTCTTTATGATTTTCTCTTTGCTATACTTACAACTTGAGTTGGATTAGAGCTTTTGTCTAGTTGTATTATGATCAAGTTTAGTCTAAAATCTGCTTCTTTATTCACGAAAAAGTTTTAAGACTTTGATACATGAGGTATCTTTTATTTCTAGCTTTGGGTCTATTTAAGATCTTCTCTTTGCAATATTAGAACTTTAGTTGGATTAGGGACTTTTGTGTAGTTGTATTATGATCAACTTTAGTCTGAAATCTGCTTCTTCGTGCGAAAAAGAAACATAAAAGACTGAAAAGACTTTGAGATATGAATGGATGATTTTTGAGTGGGGATATATTGACTGAGAGTTCAAGATTGTGCTGTTGGATTAAATCTAATTATGGGCATATATGTTACATTAGTGTATAATGCTATCTTTAAGGCTAACCCGCATAAAGTGATCAATCAATTTGGGTTAATGAGTATTTAAGTAAATCATGGGCTAATTGTGCAGATACCAGACTGTAATTCTAATTTTATGAGGGGCTAAATTAGAAAATTACAAATCTATATAAAGGGGTTATGGTCCCTAATCTAAAGGTTACGTTCTCTATTCTCTAATCCCCATCTAAAGAGATATTCAAGAGACACCTTTCAGATTAGAAGATCAAACCCTAATTAAGATTCGTGCTCAAATAGTTATGGATTTAGGTATTACTTCCGCTCGTTGTTGTTTAATCTCTATGAATTAGTCACGAATAAGTCTAACAAGTGGTATCAGAGCCACCGTGATTAATCTTAGGGATCTAAGATGAAGATTAGGGTTTTTTGATCTTAATTCAGTTTTATTAAGATCTGTGCACGTTTGGATCTTGTGCAAACATGAACTGTTGCTTCCAAAACTTGGGTTTTTAAACGACTCTGTCTTTTTTTGATTTGCTGATCGAATGGATTAAGCAAAGTTCATCTTTCGGCTTGATTTTTCTTTCGGTTGTTTGGATCTAAATTATATTCAAAATCGAAAGCAAGAGATCAATTTATGGAGTCAATCGTCGATGGCCACGCTCTTCGCCGACAATGTTCTGCTGGCGGCCTCGTTGTCAATTGGAGATAGCGACGGCGGCGATGGTTCAAAACGAAACCCTAAAGGGGTGTTCGTGCAGGAAATCATGCTTGAAAATGTGCGGAAATTAAGGAGGAGATTACCTTAATTTTAGGCGAGCTTCAGGGCTTGAAAGCTTCAGCGAACTTCGGTTCGATCTAAATGAACCCTGCGTTCGTTCTTAAGTCGAACCCCGCGTTCGTTCTCAAGTCGAACCTTACGTTCCTTCTTTAGTCGAACCCCGCGTTTATTCTCAAGCGAGCCTCTTGCTCAATTCAAACGAACCATGCGTTCGTTCTCAAACGAACCTCGCGTTCGTTCTCTGGCGTTCTCTTTTTTCCCGTCGGGTGAAAGGAGAGGGCTGCGTCTATTGTGTTTCCTTGGTTTTGTTAGGGCACACGACCTCAAACCCACTAAAATCAATTCTTTATTAGGTTTGCACAAGTCCAAGCCCACTTAAAGCTATTCGGTTATGGGCCTAAAATTCTTTAAGAATGGTTTAATTGGATATACCAATTAAAACATATTTTGGTGGGTCTTATTAAGTTATGAGCCCAATTTTTAGTATGCTTAATTTAATTAATTAAGCTATGAGATCCTTAATTAAGTTTTTTGGAAATTCAGTTAATTTGAATTAAATTATTTAATTTAAAATAAATTTGATAGTTAATCAATTATTTAATTCAAATAATGAGTATATGACACTAAAGTATTAAAGTTGTCTCTCATTCTAAATGATTAATTGAAATAAGAAGTTGCCAAAGTAACCTCTCTTGTGTAGATTGTTCATAAGGGATGTTACATATTTATGTGTATGTTTTCGTGTAAATATTTAATCGGTCCAAAGGAAGGTTAATACTTATTTAGACTGCATACATATCTGTGATGTTAAACATGTGACAATTATAAGGTTTACATGTGAATAATGAATCGATCCAAAGATAGTTTCATTATTTGACATGAGTTATTGTCAATTTAACATGAGTTATTGTCAATGTTTGATCATTGTAACAATGTATCACTTACAATTAATATTACTGTCCAAAAACTTAAGATTAATGTTGTGTCAGATATCTTGAGATGGGATTTGTCATTATTTGAATTTTATTGATTACTAATTATGGTTAATAATATGAGTATCTTTTGTTTATTTTAGCTAATGCATCTGCTACAATAATTTCTGCTAACATCAACTCAATTCTCATGCTCAATGGGACTAATTTCATGGTTTGAAAAGAGAACATATTAATTATTCTTGGCTGCATGGATCTAGACTTTGTATTAAGAACTGAACAACTCTAACCTCTCAATGCGAATAACACTCTTGATGCAAAGGAGTATGAGAAATGAGAGTGTTCAAATCACATGAGTCTCATGATCATTAAGCGTTGCGTTCCGGAAGCCTTCAGGGGCATAGAATCCGAAGGGATTACTAAGGCTAAAGATTTTTTTACCGAAATTAAGAAGCGTCTTGTGAAAAACGATAAGATAGAAACAAGCACCTTGTTAGCTCGCTTAATTTCGATGAAGTATAAAGGCAAAGGAAATATCAGGAAGGACATTATGGAAATATCTCATATTGTTTTAAAACTTAATGCCTCAAACTCGACCTATGCGACGAGTTACCGGTGCACCTGATTTTGTTATCTCTTCCTGCACAATTCAACCAATTTAAAGTCAGTTATAACTGCCAAAAGGAGAAATGGATTCTGAATAAGCTCATTTCATACTATGTGTAAGAAAAAGACATGTTGAAGCAAGATAAGACTGAAAGTGCTCATTTGGCTTATGCCTCTAAGGATAAGGGCAAGAAAAGGAAGAATGATAATGAAGCTGCTAAGGGTCCAATTTAGAAGAAACAATATAAGGATGATCAGAGTTGTTTCTTTTGTAATAAGGCTGGACATGTAAAGAAGGATTGTACCAAATATCACGTCTGGCGTGCTAAGAATGGTATATTCCTTACTTTGGTCTGTTCTGAGGTTAATTTAGCTTCAGTACCTAAAAATACTTGGTGGTTAGACTCTGGTGTCACTACTCACATAAGTGTTTCTATGCAGGGTTGTCTGAGCTACCGAAAACCAAATGATGATATCTTTGTGGGCGATGGACAATCGGTAGATGTGGAAGCAATTGAGCACCTTAGGTTGCTGTTAGGAACTGGTTCTTATTTAGATTTGAAAGATATTTTTGTAGTACTGTCTTTTAGATGAAATTTGATTTTTGTTTCTGTATTGGACAAATCAGGTTATTCTTGTTCATTTGGAAATAATCAATTCAGTTTTTTTTAATTCAAATATTGTGTGAACTAGTTACTTGAGTACTTATGACAACCTATATTTGCTTGATATAATTACTTCTTATAATGAAACTTTGCATGTGGAATCACGTGAAACTAAGCGTAAATTAAATAAAGAAAATTTGGCGACATTATGACATAAGCGTTTGGGTCATATCTCAAAAGCTAGAGTTGAGCGTCTTGTGTCTGATGGTATTTTAGATTCTCTTGACTTTTTAGACTTTAACGTATGTGTCGAATGTATCAAGGGAAAACAGACCAACGTTAAGAGATTAGGTGCCAAAAGATCTTCAGACGTCTTAGAATTGATACATACGGATATTTGTGGGCCATTTCCTACGGCATCTTGGAATGGTCAACAATACTTTATATCATTCATAGATGATTACTCACGTTATGGTATCTATATCTCATTCATAAAAAATCTGAATCTCTGGACATGTTCAAAGCCTATAAAGCTGAAGTTGAGAATCAACTCAATAAAAAAAATTAAAACCGTTAGATCTGATCGTGGTGGTGAGTACTACGGCAAATATGATGGTTCAGGTGAACAACGTTCAGGATCATTTACTAGATAT